TTGAAGATATTGTTTTTGATAGAAAATATATAATATATAATTAACAATAATTTAATAAATAAAATATAGAAAGGCTACATTTTATATAGAATTTTAAAAATATATTGGGTTTAATTTTAGACCTAAAAAAAACATCTACAAAAATGATTAAAAACAAAAAATGTGCATTCAAAAACATGGCTTAGAGGTGAAGGACATGGCTCCAAATTACAATTTCTATTTAACCTGCTCAACAACTTTTATAATTAATATTTAATATTCCCCAATAATGTATAAAATATTAAATAAATATTTAAATAAACTTTTCGGTGCTAATAAATTTAATATAATTTACTTGTTGACAATTTTTTATCATGATTTATAAAAATATAATTTAAAGCCTTGCAAAAGCAGTTTAAAATCCATATTTTTATCTCAATTTTTTTTCTTACAGTGCACTGGTAAAGACATCTCCAATGGCTCTGGTTTTTTGTTTCTGATTTGCATAATTCTGCGCGCTATTTATTTCCTAGGAAACGTTCTATATCTATTTTCACAATGGTAAGCAATAGCTTAGTCCATGTGCTCTTTTCTGGGGTTTCTCTCTGAATCAAAACGGGTTTGCCCAAAAAAACCAAGAAAACCAAAGAAACAAATAAATAAATAAATACTATTTAGCATAATACACTTAATATGCTCCACTTAACGCCCAGTTTTTAGATAAGCTACTGTTCTTGTTGGGCCCAAAAAAAAAAATTCTTGTCAAGGCAAGAGACATTCTAAGCCAATTTGCTTGGCCCGAAATGAAGGTTATTAATTACTTTCTAAGGCATTTTTTATGTGCTTAGTTCAGAGGCGTTAGTTATGCCCGTAGTTAGGTGTTTAGCTTGGCTCCTGTGTGTGCGCGGCGGCTATATTAGCATAAATTACGAGTCAAGCGAGCAGCTGCCCATAAAAACAAGTAACAATTTCATTAGACCAGCTGGGTAGTTGGCTAGCGATGATGTTTAGATACCAACAAACAGCACTTTCAATGCTTAACGAGGGTGAAAAGTGGCGACTAATTAGCGTCAAGTGTCAAGACTCAAGTGGTGGGGTGAGCTCATTTGTTTGCGGTGCTGTTTGCTTCGCATTTTTGCATTTTATGTAATGCAATATTTAATCAACGGCCGCATTGCATTCTAAAATTAAATTTAACTTACTTACTTTGCGGCGCGTGCACGAAAAGTTCCAATGAACTTGAGGCTGTGCTCGGGCAGGTTGGCCGCGCCGCCACCTGTGCAGGAAGTGGCTTAAGTTCGTCGCTTAAGTTCGTCGCTTAAGTCTTTTGATTATGTCGGAAACGCTTGCCGCTCGAAAAAAATATGAAATAATGTGCGACGCGACGTTAGCGTTATTAACTTGTAAATGGCAATGTAAATTTTCAGCGTCTACGTGATCAGCGACCCCAGCAGCTACATAATCCTCTTAGGCTCTAAATGTTCCCCCATTATTAATCGTCAAAGTGTGGCCCAAACATAGTGGTGATTTATAATAATTATCTAATATCTGGCAGATGACAGGGCGATATCTGGGGGGGCAACTAACTAACGCAACTATTGCCAATTGTATAATCGCTCAATCAAAGGCCAAGTTCAAACCGCACCCCCCTACATAAAGCATTGTCTTAATGGCTAACCACAATCATATTGACAACTAAGGCCGGCGCAGCTCCAAAAACCAAAACCAAAACCAAAAAAGTTAAATAAAGGGGAAAAAAATCAAGAGACAAAGGTTCAATGAACGCACCGAAGGGAGCGCTATTTTTAAGTTCGATTTAATTTGATTTGTTTGCATTAATTGCCTTTAGCGGGGGATATCTTTCTCCCCGCAAGTTGATTCACAAACGGAAGGAATTCTTGCCAGCAAGGCTTTGTAATTTAAATTTAGAAAGTAAAAGGCATATGGTTTATTATTATGTTATGTGTGTGATAAACAAATGGTGACCGTCTGACTCAACTCAACTCGGATTGCATGTTATTTGCACATTTTCCTTGATTTACAACTGCGAGCACGAAATCAATAAAAGTCAATTCTAATGTGGCCATTACGAATGTAATGCAATAATTACACGAACATCGCCAAGACGCTGATTATATAATGCCGTAAAGTGCCAATCGTGAATCGGTACTTAATTGTTTATTGATTGGCCATATTATTGTTCTTCTAAGGCCCTAATAATAGGCTATAAAAGGGTCTTACATTCTCATTATATAGAAAATTTCAGGAAGCTTTTAGCAGCAGTTTCATAATAATTTATAATAAAAGGTAGCGAATCTTTAATTGGTTTAATAAAATTGTAAAATAAGTAGTTTATAATTGCACTTGCAAAGGGAACTCTCATTAAACCTGGGAAAAGGTTTAGAAATATCTTAAAATAAATTCTTATTAACCACTTTAACTGCAATCCCAGCATTACAATAATATAGACTCGAAAAATAATCCATTAACCCTGTTAAAAGATTAAAAATAATCTTTCATTTAAAGTTATATCCCGGTAAAAGGTTTGTAAAAGTTTAAAAATATTTTTAAACACCTTTTTTCCAACAAATTTAAGAATAAGAAGTCCAACATATTTTAAGACAGCCTTAAAAAATAATCTCATATATAAAATAAAATACTTTATGACCTAATAAAAGGTTTAAAAATATTTTTGGATTATTTAATTTTTTAATAACCTTACCTAAAGGCTTAAAAATATTTCAAAATATATTTTTTCTTGTCAAACTTAATAAATAAAATTTCAAAAATCTTCAAGCAGCTAATGTACCCCTATAAAATTATGTACACCTTGCTTATAGAATGAATATAGAATGCCTTAACGCCATAGCAACAATTACAAGTGGAACTAGCATAAATTGAATGACCTTTTTGGTCAAAACAACGTAACGACGACGCACAATATTGTTTTCATTTTTTTTTTTTTTCAACTTTTTTACGCTCTTCCAACATGATTATGATGTTATTATTATTATTATTAACTTGCTTAGGCTCGCTTGTAAATTATGCCACACATAAATTTAAAGCCGGAGGCTATTTTAGAAGGAAAATCGCAGCGTGACTAAACACAATGACGTTCCCTGTGCAGGTGCCACGCCTATATTCGAGCAATTAGAATATACTGAACATTCGGAATATTCGGAATATCTGAAATTCCCAAAGCCCCCCCAACAAATGGTTGGCGTGTCAATAACATTGCAAGAATTTCGCGAATACAAAAATTATAACAATCGTTACGCAACTGCCGGCATTTAATTAACAAATTGCAATTTAAATATTCTCGAATTTATTATGCACACTTGCATTATATTATTAATAAAAAATTTAAAAGTTTGTGCCGGTTTGACTGGACTTTGCTGTTGTTGTATTTTTGGCTCCGTGTGTATGTTTGCTTTAATTTCCATAAATTTTCAAATCGATTCGATCGACCGGAGCCCAGGCTGCTGGTGAATAAACCAATTAACATGCACAATAATTGTTATAAATAATAATAAATAAAAATCGTATCGAACCGGATGAAAAGCCAGCAAACAAAGTCGCTCTTGGATCATTAATCACAAGAACTTGGCTTGCATATACATATATATAGAACCATGACTCAAAGAAGCCATGCCATATCTTTGATATTAGATTATGACTTTATAATGGGTGTTGAAAAGCCATGTAATAGCTCCAATCCAAACCGATCCGTTTCGCTCCGCTAATTGCCGGATAAACCCAAGAAGAGGAGGGCATTGGATCTGGGTTCTGAGTCACGCACCGCGTTTTGGGTTAAGATTTTTATATTTAATTAGCGGCAATGTTCGCGGTAATTGGGTGTTTTTCCTTAACCTGCTTTGCACCGCGTCATCGCCCGAGACTTGACCTCTCACCGGGGGGAATTTGCCCTGTCGACCAGATGCCGGAGATTCCAGGGATACCTGAGAAAGCCCTGCTCCAGCCACAACCTCATGTCACCACTCCAAAGACAATGTTGTAATCGTAATTGTAATCGCTCCGGCAAAATGATAATTAAAGCTGATCAATTGCTTTCAGCGATTCGAAAGCAGAGAGGCATTAGCAACACGCTTCCCGACTTCGTGCCGTTCTAGAAGACCTGCACACAGATGAGATGATCGATGGAGCCGGCACAGCTGTCTGCAATTGCAGTGTCTGTGTCTGGGAATTGGAATTGGAAACTGGGAACACACCGACAACCAGCCGGCCAGCTGGTGAAGGGCAGTAGAAATCCGCACTTGACTTGGCCTGCAATTGTATGCAAATGAACGCGTGCCGTGTCGAGAGCGCCTCGCCATAATTGCATAATAATTGCTAGCAATATAAACATTGGGTTCTTCGTATGTTTTTTTTTCGTACAATATGCAATAGAATTCTTTATTGTTATTTACTCGCTGCTGCGCGCTGTCGCTGTGGCCTATACATACAGATTTATGTATAATGTGCACTCGCTGCACTTACTGCATATAATATATATGTTTTGTGTTGTATATATAATCATTATTAATATAATATTTTAGCTTGTGGTTCTTTAAATATGTTTGTTGCTGCTCTTTATGCTCTAGGTACACCGCTTTTCTCCTCCCTCGTCACTCGTCGCTTCTCATTTTACTCGTTACACGTAATGACAGTTTAAAATTTGCGTTTGCAAAACGAAAGCTTTAACAACTTAATTGAATAAGGGGGGTTGTTCTTGTTTATTGTTTTTACTATATAATAAATATATATATATACTATCATTATAATTCTTATGGGCTCGCGGTTTATGCGTTACTCGTTACTTTTTTCTGTTCTGTTCTTTTTAATAGCGACTAAGACACTTTTTCTTTCATATTTCATAATTTTCCATTGTTTTGCTTTCAACTTTTTACACCTTTTAAAGCTACAACTTGAGATGTGTGTAAAAACGCCGAGTTTTTACCTGTCTGTACAGCAAATTGTTCTTGGGTTGGGGATTCTTATGGATTGGGGATCGGTTTGAAAGGTTTTAGGGAGGCGGAATGTTGCACATTTGCATTGGTTTATTATTTTACTTGCTGCAGCGGGGAGTTTTAAGGCTTAATGCTAGGTCCGTACTGTTTACTTAGCATATTTAACAAAAGTTTATACATCTGCTTGGCGTTCTCTACAAACTAAAAGTTTATCCTCGCTTCGTGTGTGTTTTTTTGCTTTAGCTTTAGTTTTGTGTGTTGCGAATCTCTTTGATTAGTTGGATTAATAAATATTTCAACAAATTGCCGGCAGCACGACGAATCGATAATAGTTAGTTATAATAATAGTAATAGTAAATAGTAAGAACTAATAACTAATAATCGTAGTTCATTTACACACACACGAGTTAAATTCTGGAAAATCAACTAAAATCTAATTATAGTCAGAGCAATTCTTTGAATTTCTTGCATTTTCTGTATGGTTTCTCTTATTCGTAATCTTTTTGTTAAGCTTTAAAAACAAATTAAGTTCAATTAAATATAAATTACGAGGCCTAATTAGCTACACCGTTTAAAAGTAATTGTCATTTTAACCTAAAGACTAACCCGAATAAAGATACAAACTAAAGACCAACAAACTCTGCTAGGAGGCAACTGCAGTCACAAAAGGAAACACACATTGCACAACGTACAAATTCATTCAAATGAGTTGTGAGAAACACAAAAAAAACATAATAATTCAAATAATAATAATATTTTCAAATGAAAATCAAGGGTCTGAGGCAGTGGAATTCGAGTCTTGCCAAGGAATATCAAATAGTCAGTACAACACACATCCTGCCTTCGAAGAAATAGGAAAGTAGCCTACAGAATCTGTAGAAATAAAATGTAACAAGCCTTCTGAAAGCTCATCATACTTTCGGGCCTTCCAACTATTACAGATTCTTTGATAAAATCTCAGCTAAAATTCAAAAAATAAAAATAACTTGTACCTTTTTGGGAACCAATTTTCTTGAAACCTTTTCTTAGCCTGTGTTGACCCCCTTCATCGCTGTGCGGCTGCCGCTGAAGCTCCAGTTGCTGCTCCTGAGCCCGAACTTGTTCCAGTTGCCGCCCCCGTCAGGTCGTCCCCTTGGAGATCCACGTTGGCGGCACTGGCGTACTGCTAAAACCATGACTGCCGGTTAATGTCATACGGCTTTGGCATGCCCAGTGTGGCTCGTTGGTATGCAGATGGCGGCGGCGGCGGTTGTCCATAGCCGGCTGCTGCCGCCGCCGCTGCCGGCCCGCTCAGCAGACTCTGATTGAAGATCATCCGCGTGTGAAAGTCATCGCGTCGCAGGTACTGCTGGTATAGCTGCGAATTGGGGTCGACGAAGGGATAGGCCGCTGCAGCAGCCGCTGCCCGCGTTGAGGGATGGGCCCCCGCCGCTGCCGCCAGGAAGGGATAGGATCCAGCGGCTGTGTTCAAGGGATTCTGTCCGGTCTTGTCCCCAGCATTGCCCACGGGATTGCCAGACGCTCCACTATGCGCTGGCGCCGGTGGCATGTAGTAAGGATTGGGGGCATCCCGGAACTGATCCAAATAGCTGCTGGCTGCCGCTGCCGCCGACTGATCGCCATAGAGGCCCAGGGCTCCGGGTGTGGGTGCAAAATTGAAGGCACTGCCTGGAACAATGCCGCCGCCACTGCTGCCTGTTGAAGTCTTCAGTGAGATGGCTGCTGCAGCATCTGCCGCTGCCGTCGTCTGATTGCTGGTATTGCTGCTGCCGCCGCCGCCGCCGCCGGTAGCCGATCCTGGCGAGGATACTCCTCCAGATTTAAGACCTGCGTACAGCTGGAAGCCCTGGTGCAGCGCCTGGGCATGCGCCTGCAGCTGATTGTTGGTGGCAGCAGCAGCAGCAGCTGCCGAAACAGAGGCTGCGGTCTGCGCCATATTGTACTGCGGCATGGATTGGTGTTGATGTTGTTGTTGTTGCTGCTGCTGTTGCTGCTGCACTTGTTGCTGTTGCTGCACCTGTTGTTGTGCCTGTTGCTGCTGCTGTTGATGCTTGACTGCTGCTGCTTCTGCTGCAATTGTGGCTGCCTTCTTTTTCCTTCCTCTCTTGGCTGGCGCTTTGACTTCCGCTGGAGCCACTGCTGCCGCTTGCTGCTGCTGTTGCTGCTGCTGTTGTTGCTGCTGTTGTTGCTGCTGCTGCTGGTGTGCGGGATTGTTGTTGCCTGGCACATAGTTGCCGGGCAGTTGCTGCGCCGGATTCCCGTAAGCCGTGGCCGCTGAGCTCGAGGCACTGTACATGTGAGCCGCCGGCGGCATGGTCTTGTCGAAATAGTTGCCGGCATAGCCCAGCATGGATTGCATCAGGGGATTGCTGTAGGTCTGAGGCGGTGGCGGGGGCGTGGGCTTGTTGTAGGCGGCCAAATGATGCGTCTGACTGAGATGATGCTGGTGATGCATCATGTTGCTGCTGGCATCGCTTACGGCAGTGGGAAGTGGGGCTTGTTGTTGTGCTGAGGCGGGTTTCTCAGGGACTGACTGCTGTTGCTGGGTAGTGTAATTGTGTTGTTGCTGGTAGTTAATTTGCTGCGTTTGCTGTTGCTGCTGCTGCTGTTGCTGTTGCAGTGGCAACTTTTGGGCCTGAGCTTGCTGCTGTTGCTGGTAGTTTTGATTATGCGGCGTCTGCAACTGCGTGAGATGTGGCTGCTGCTGCTGCTGTTGCTGCTGCTGTTGCTGTTGATTTGTCTGCTGCTTGTTGCTGCTGCTGGTCTGTGGCACTGATTGCGGCTGCTGCTGCAGTTGACAATTGTCCTTGGCAAACTCCTTGGGAAAGCCCATGGCCGCCGCCCTGTTGTACATTTCAAAGGCCTTGTCCGGCGCTATGTTGCCCAAAGGCTTGCCAAAGGCCATGGAACCCAGAAAGCTATTAAACATTTGCTGTTGCTTGTTGAGCAAAGTTTGCAATTGCGGCTGCTGCTGTTGTTGCTGCTGTTGTTGTTGCTGCTGCTGCAACTGTGGCTGCTGTGCAGGCGTCTCTTCCAATTTTGCCATTTTATTTGCCGCTGCATTGCCACTGTAATCCATGCCCATGTCCTCGCCGGGCCTCTTCAGAGGATTTATCAGAGTGTCCGTCTTGGGAGGCTGCTGCATTTGATGCTGCATAAAGGTGGCCATATCGCTGCCATAACTTGGCGGCACTATCTTCTGCTGCTGCTGCTGCTGCTGCTGCTGCTGCTGTTGTTGCGTATCCACCGCATCTGCTGCAGCCGCTGCACTGGCTGCTGCATTTGTTGACTGATATTGGGCATAAGTTGGATACTTGGGCTTGAGTTGCTGCTGCAGCTGGGATTGCTGCTGTTGCTGCGTCTGCAATTGCTGCTGTTGGGGTGTTGCTTGCAATTGTGGCTGCTGTTGCTGCTGCTGCTGCTGTTGCTGAGTCTGTAATTGCTGCTGTTGGGGTGTTGCTTGCAATTGTTGCTGCTGCTGCTGCTGTCCCGCTTGCTGCGTCGCCTGATTTGCCGCATTTGCAATGCTAGGCGGCAACAAACTGCGATTGAGGCTCCAGTCATTGTTTGGCTTAGCAATAGAAGCAGCTGTCGGGGGAGCAACCGCCGTGGGCAAAGGATTTATCAGAGTGGCAGGATTATACAAGGAGCGTTGCTGATGCTGCTGGTAGGTATCGTGGGTGGAGGGTCCATAGCCATTGTTACTAACGGCCCCTGTGGCAGGCGGTACTACAGGAGGTTGCACCTGCTGCTGCGACTGAGGCTGCTGGTAGGGCGACAACACGGGCTGCTGGTACGGCGAATGCTGCTGCTCTGCGGGAGAATGCGCCAAAGGTGTTGGTGGCTGCGTGGCCGCCGAGGAAGCCGGCGAAGGTATGGGACTGTGGGCCTGCTGATGAGACGCCGGACTGTGCGAGGGTTGCTGCTGCTGTTGCTGCTGCTGCTGTGCCGCCGGCGGATGGTAAGGAGAGTGCTGTTGCTGGTGATACGGCGACTGACCATGGTAGGGCGACGGCTGCGTCGACTGCGATTGCTGGGGCGTGGTGTACGGCGAACTCTGGGGCTGTTGATAGGGCGAGTGGGGATTCGGGGTGCTCGGACTCATCGAGGAGTTGTAATCCGATTCCTGGGAGCGCGGCTGCTTGTATTGGTCGTAAATGGGCAGCGGGGAGGTGGAAGAATAAGCAGGTGTCTTGGAAGCCTCAGAGCCCGAAGGATTGTAGCTATTCCCACCGCCATAGGGTGAGGTACCGCTCAAATCCGGCGTGGAAACATTCGGTGAGGAGGCGGAGGAGTAAATGTGCTGGGAATACTGCGGATACGGCGAGTTCATCTCCCTGGGGCTGCAGCTCTTGTCCGGGCTGCTCTTGGTCGTCGTATCCTGGTAGAAACCCACCTTGATGGCTCCATTCAGGGGATAAGGCGACGCCGGCTTGCCCATGTCATCGTTGGGCTTGGGCGAGACCATTATGGGCGAGGCTCCAATGGGTGAGGCTCCTATGGGCGAGGTGTACGAGCCTGCAGCATACGATCCGTAACGCTCATCGATGGCTATTCTGGGAGAGTCCGGATCCTGACTAAAGGAACTGCGCTCCGAGTTGGTGCTGCCGGTGCTTGGCTTTCTGGGACGCATCACCGTGGGCAGCGAGAAATTGTCACCGGCGGGTGAATGAGCTGGCGGCGCCACCGTGGCACCTTCACCCGGCAGCAGGTCCTGCTGCTGTTGCTGCAGCATCTGCTGCTTGGATGGCTCATCCTCATCCGTCTTCTTGCTCACCTTGGGACCTCCAAAAGCCTGCAGCCAGGCGCTTAGATCAGGCTTCTTCTTCTGCTGACTGGCAGCATCTCCCTTGGCCCCCTCACCACCCGCCGCTTTGCCCGCTTTGCTAAGCTCCAGCAGAGCTTCAAATGGCTTGGGAGGTCCTCCGCCCCCCTCCTTGCTGGGCGTGGTGGGTGGTGTCGACGCCTCCTCGGTTTTGCTGTCCTCCGTGGGCCCGCCTTCATCTTCCTCTGTGGGCTTATTCCGGGCCAGTTCTTCCAGCGTTTTGCCCAGAGCAAAGTCCTGGGTCTTGATCACAGTGCCCAGGCTCAGTTTTGGTGCTCCCTCGCAGGTTTCCGTAATCAGGGCGTTTTTCAGCTCCTTGGCCTTGGTGGCCACTGGGTTTGTGCCCACGAGGGAATCGCTACTCTCCTCCGTGGACTTGCCAGCAGCCACATTTTGGATGAGATTACCCTTGGCCTTGCCCGGCTGAAGCCTATCGATGGTCCTCATCACATTCGCCTTGGCCTTGACCTGCTGCGCCTGGGCAGCCTGAGCCGCCGCCTGTTTCTCCTTGAGGGACTTGCGCTTGGCCTCCTTGGCCAGCTGCTGCTTGATATGAGGCGGAGGCGGAGGATTCAACAGCAATTGCGTGGTGCTGGGCTCCTTGGGCTTCACCGGGGGCTGAGGTAGAGGCAGGCAAGGCAAAACCGGAGGCAGGGGAGTTATAACAGCCACAGGCAGAGGCGTGGGCATGGAGTTGTTGGAGCAATTCGAACTGGAGGCCGCTGTGGCGGAGGTGCTGCCAATGGAGTTGCCCGAGTGCATCGAATGGGGCGGAGTACCACAGCTGCTGCTCACACTGCTCGCCGTGGGAGCCAGAGACTCGGACTCCGATTTACTGGCTGCTGCTGCTGTGGCTTCTTTTGGTTCACTCACCAGGTCGTTCAATGCCTCCGCTAGCTTTGTGGGCACCAATTCCGTTTTGGGTGCGGCCAAGGCAACGGGACGGCGGAAATCCGCTGCATCCAGCTTGCTGCCAATCCCGGAGTCAAAGTCATCGAGGAGATTGTAGCGGGAAGGCGAGTTGCTGGCCGAACTGAACTCTGTGAAGCGAGGCGTGTGCTCCAGCCAGCGATTGATGTCCTTCAGAGTTTGTTCTGTTTCCACATCCAAGGCCTCTAGATTGGTATTGTTGGTCTGCACCTGGCTTGCCTTTTGGGCTGAAGCTTTTTTCCCGGCGGCGGATTTTTTGCTGGAAGCCTTGTCGCCGCTGGGTTTATCCACGGGCTTTGGTGGAGGCGGCATTTGCTTGTCGGGTCTCTTCTTGGCTGTGGTCTTTCCCTGTGTATCCTTTACCTTGGTTGTAGATGATGAAAGACTTGCTGGCGTGGTGGAAACCTCCTCCTTCTTGCTTTTCTCCGCAGGCTCTACGGGAGCCGGGGACTTCTCCTTCGCTGGCTTTTCCATTTTCTCCTTGAAAGCAAGAGGCTCCTCCTTTTTCTTGGTCTTGCCCTCCGTGTTTTTCTCTACCTCCTTCTGGGCCGCCTTTTCAGTCTTCTCCTGCTTCTCTGCCTCCTTGCTACGCTTTTGGTCTTTGCTCTTCCTTCCCCGCTTGTGCTGCTCTGGAGGAGGATCGGGTTCTCTTTTAGACGAGGTCTTCTTGCTGCCGCTCTTGGTGCTGGCTGGCTTGGAGTCCTCGGAGGGGGCTATGGAGTTGGAGGCACTGGAGCCACTCTGGGCAGCACGACTGCGTCGGAACTTTATCACATCGTACTTGTCCATAAACGGCAAAAGCATCTCCAGTTCGGCCTGCTCGGCGGCAGCTGCGGCAGCGGCAGCAGACAAGACAGACTCCTCTTTGCTTTTCTTGTGCTTGGTAGTGCGGGATTTGTCCTTGTCTTTGTCCTTGCTCTTCTTTTCCTTCTCCTTCTTGGAGCTCTCACCTTTTCTACCCTTTTTCGTCACCTTCAGACGCTCCTGGGAGCTGGCTCGACTGCTGCTCAGCGATTTAAAGTCCCCGTCTGAACCCTCCTCCTTCTCCTCCTCGTCTTCATCCTGATGATGCCGGGCACTCAGCTTGGTGGTCTCGGCATTGGGCACCTTCTTCACGGTGGTCAGCAGCTCGGAGAGATCATCGTTAAGGGCACTTTTCGAGTATTTCTTGTGGAGATCAACCTTAAAGGGTGACATGCTGCGGGAACGCGAGCCATCCTCGTCTTCATCCTCCTCATCATCGTCGGCGCGCCTGGTGTCCTCTTCCTCCTCGTCTTCGTCTTCTTCCAGCTCGGCGGCGGATTCGGCCAAGGCATCGGCTGCTGTTGGCGGCAGTAGCTGTTCCGTGGCCTTACTCCCCTTACTGCCCTTCACTTGCCGCTTAACGGGCGTCAGCGTCTTTACTTTGGATTCCGCTGGCACTGACTTTTTCTTCTGCGCCGCTATCGTTCGTGCTGTGGGCGGTTTGAGGAGGGACTTGGCCTTGGCCTTGGCCAAGGATATGTGCTCGTCGTCAGAGAAGTCGTCGCTCTCACGACTATCGCTGGCCTCCGCCGATTCGGGTTCCGTTTCGGGGGCTGTTAGCTTCTTGGTTCCCTTTTTGGTCTTTTGTGGCTGCTTTCCAGGCTTGGCCGCGGACTTATCACTCTTGGGCTTGCGTCCCCGCTTGTTAGCTGCAGGTTCCTTGTCTTTTTCTTTCTCCTTTTCCTTTTCCTTGTCTTTTTCCTTCTCTTTATCCTTTTCCTTCTCCTTTTCCCTTGCCACCTTACCCGCTTTGCTCTTCTTGCTCGGAGCTGGCGGCGGTGGCGTTGGTTCCTTCTCAGGTTCCATGTCCTCGTCATCCGTTTCCGGCTCTGCCTTGCTTTTGCTCTTCTTTTTGCGCCGTTTATCCTTCTCCTTTCGCTTACGTTTTTGGGTTTTCTGCAAGGCCTCCTCTTCAATCTCGCTGCGCTCTTCATCGGCGCTGCTTTCTGGGCGACCACCCATTGCCGCTGCATCCTTCTCCGTCTCCTCCTTGGCCTTCTTGCTAAAGTATTTCTCGCGAAAAACATTCATTTTGGAGTCGGCGGCGGGGTAGCTGAGATTGGGATCATCATCTTCGTCGTCGGAGAGATTATCAAAGTACTTTTTGGTGGCCTTTTCAAAGGCATCCTGCAGATTGTTCACCATTTCCGTGTATTCTGTGGGGATTAAAAGAAGGTATCATTAGAGTTTGAGGGGAAATTTTAATTTTATTTCAAGTTTTTACCATTATTGTGCCCATTGTACAGTCGACAGTTGTTGACAATCAAGCGGAAATCGTTTCGAAATTCGCTAAATTTGTGATATTCCCCACTGTCCAGCTTGTCCTCCATCTTGAGCAGGTCCATGGGTCTGCGAAAAGGACGAAGAGTTGAATAAACGAGTTAAGTAGACTTTTTCCAATATTGTTAACTTACCTCCTGATTATTGAATAATATCGTGGGGCAATATCCTCCTCCACGGGATCCATAAAGGGCCAGGCATCGCGATGGTTCTTCACGTAGACCAGCACCTTGTGCATTCCTATTTGAAGGACCTCCTCCGTTTCGGTAAAGCTAAGAATATTCGCATGATTGGAGGAGTTGTACGTTGAGTTGTTGTTTGTTGTTGTTGGTGTTGGTGTGTTTACTGTGTTGCTGTGTTGGTATTGTGATGCATTTGTTTTGCTTGTTGGTGTTGTTGTTGGGTGGGCATTGGTGTTGGTATGGTGGGTTAGGGAGTGGTGAGATTTGGACTTGTGTTTGTTACTGTGGTGAAAATGATGATGATGATGATGTTGGTGTTTATGGTGGGTGTTGTTGTTATGGTGTTGTGAGTAAGAGGTTGTGGTGTTGTGATTGTGATTATTATTATTATTGCTGTTATTATTGTTGTTGTTGTTGTTATTCTGATTATGATTATGATATCCCTGCGTCGTAGTTGTTGTTGTTGATGCTGCCGCCGTTGTTGAGTGGCTGTTGTTATTATTATTATTGTTGTTGTGACTGTGGTGCGACGCGTGCTTATGGTTGTTGTTGTTGTTAAGGCTGCTGTTGTTGTTGGTTGTGGTGCTACGGTCTCTACTATTTACAGGGCTACATTTATCGATATTTGTTGTTTATTTTTTTATGGATTTGGGTTCGGTTTTTGGTCGTAATGTTTTTTTTTACCGTTTTTTTAGGGAGTGGGTACAAAAGTTTACAATAACAATGATAAATATGTTAATCAATTGATCACATTATATACAATTCGATGGGCAATGTGAGTGTATGGAAAGGCCCAGGCATCATGCAAAGGTAACGAACTAAAAGTGTCAGTTAACTAAGGTAGAACTATTAAATTTCACAAAGCAACAGGTAAGAAAGGGGAAAAGAAAAAGCAAGGGCGGCTCCACTTTAAACAAAAAACAAAAAAATCAACAACAATTCAAAAACGGAGTGAGCATCATGGACGAGTTTTGCATTAAAGATACAATTTAAACAATTTTATTACGTTTTTTTATAGTTTTTGTAGGGTATTTGGTTGTATTTTTGGTTAGAAAGCTTATAATTATACTCGGACATTAATAGAATGAGACAGAAACCATTAAAAAAAGAATAAACTAATAGAAAAATTCAATTTCTTGGGTAACATTTGAAATCATATTCCTCATCTTCATTTAGTTTAAATTAAAGCAAGTTAAATTGTATCTTTGTCACGATGTTCACACATCCAACAAGCAAGCAGAAGCACAAAGAAGCATAAATGACCAAAGACAGTAAGTTTGTGTTGTGTCTGGGGGGGGAATCGCGTTCGAAATCGAGTCTCTTTTCTCTCTCTGACTTACTCATCTCCACTCTTGTCCGAGTAGGCACCGCTCTGCCGCCGCTCCGCCTTGCTGGACGAGGAGGAGGATGCCGATGACGAGGCCAGCTTCTTGGGCTTGCACGTTTCCGCCTTTTCCGCCGCCGCCGCCTTGATGCTGCTACTGCTGCTGCCTCCGCTTCCGCTATTGTTGAGAACGGCCTTTTGCTTCTTGGATCGCACGGTGCTAGCTGTAGTGCTGCTGCTGCTACTGCTGCTAGCGCCGCTCTGCTCCTGGGCCTGCTGTGGCTGTGACTGCGTGTCACTTGTTCCTCCCGCAGGTATGAAAATGTTGCCAGTCAGGGAACTGAGCGAATTGTTGGTTTGCCTGCCGGGCAACTTGACATTTGCCGCTGGCGCCATCGAAGAGGAGGCTATTCCTGTTGCTGCTAGTGGCTCTGGCTCAACCACCTGCTGCTGCTGCTGGTGCTGATCTTCCTGCTCTGCCTCGCTCTCATGTGCCACCGATGGAGACGGCAGACTTAGATTGGCGATGCTGGTGGCCACGGCAATTGCCGCCGAGTTGGTGTCCAACAATTGCAGTTGCCTGCAAAAGTTCTCCTTGTCCTCGGGACTTAGAGAAGTGCTAGTGGTGTTTGGTCCCTCCTCGGGAGGAGTCTCCTGTGGCTGCTGCTGCTGCTGATGCTGCTGTCGCTTTTGCTGGGCACTGTAGTTGCTGCTGCTGCTATTACTGTTGCTGTTGTGATTATTGTTGTGGTTATTGTTGTTGTCGTCCTCGTCTGCCTCTGAAGCATGCTTGTGTCGCCGTCGATGATGGTGATGATGCTCGCGATCGCGATGATGTCGCTTCTTTTGCTTCTTGCCCGACTTTTTCTTCTTGTGGTGATGATGATGATGATGGTGTTGATGTTGCTGTTGATGGTGGTGGCTATGGTGGCCTCTGCTTTGCGATTTCGGCGTTTGTGGCGATCGAAAATCTGTTAATAATTCTACTTCTTGATGGTCCTGCTGCTGCTGCTGCTGCTCTTCTTGTTGCTCTTCGTGTGGCTGCTCCGCGTCGAGGGCCTCCCTATCGTCGTCGTCGTTCTCTGGCGAGAGGCAGAAGGTTTCCCTGTGGCACAGAAATTCGCTCGAATTAGTTGTGGTTGTTCGTCTGAGGGAGCTTGCGTAGGTTGAAATACCACTGGCCGTCGATGTGGATTGCGATCTGAGGGAAAGTAAGAAATAAATTTGAAAACTCAAATAAATACAATTGGTTATTGTCATCAAATAATTGTGATTACGATTTACTAAAAGCATTAATGGTTTGATTTTGTAAAGAACAAAGGCTATGGAAATGTATACGAAATGATTTTAATATCTTATTAATTTATGTATCAATAATTTAACGGTATTTTACTAATAGTTTCCTATAGCTTTCCCTATCAATATCATATTTATTAATATACCAATAATTGTACGATATTTTCCGATATTCTACCAATATTTTTCTTTAGTTTCAATAACTTTTACATACAAATAGATAATTTTCCTATCAATAAAATATTTTTAATAATTTTCCTATAGCTTTCTTATAAGAATTTTCTACGATATATCCGTGTCTCTGTCGTGTATGAAATGGGTGAACAAGAACTTAAACTTAAGCCATAAACTTAAAGCACAAAGAATATAAATATAATTATATCAAAAAGCATGCTTACAGAGTTTTCTTTTTTTTGGAAAACGAAATCCAACCAATTCTAAATTATACTTTTTGGGGTCAAAACTCAAATTAAGTGCTGATCCTGGTTCCGTTGGCTCATCATCCTGGTTCCGGGGGTGCGGGGGCTTCGCGTTGATGCTGGGTGATAATGTTTCTGATTCTGATTTGATTTGGTTTTCAAACTCAAATTGCAAGCGCAGAAATCATAACAAATTGAACGGCAACTCAAAAGATCAATTGAAAACGTAAATCAAAGATGCTTTTGGTATGCAAGTGTTTTTTGGTGGATGAGTTGAAGAGGCTGTTGTTTCGCCAGGTTTCGCTTAAAATGCGGCCCGTGCTAACCGTCTCCGTGTGCGCTGCTGTTGTTGTTGCTGTTGCTGCTGTTGTTGCTGCTGCTGCTGCTGTTGCTGCTGCTGCTGATATTGCTGCTGTTGCGTGGGCGGTGCCAGCCAGTGTGCGTTCTGCCGCTCCTGATACAGATTCTCGCGCTCCCTTCGCTGGCGCTCTTCCTCCTGGCGTGCCTTCAGCTCCACAAGGTTGCGAATGCGACTAGAGTTGCGCACTTGAAGAAGTCTGAAGCGAAACATTAAAAAAAGTATTAATAGCGTTGTTGAGAACTAGCTTTCCCAAGCTTTCCTTACTTTCTGCGCCTTAAACGCTCACGCTCCCGGAATAGCTGCGGCAGCTTGGGCAGAAAATTCTCATCGAGTATTTGGAAGAGTTCGCGCTCCTTGGCGTTCGTCGAGGTCTTAAACTTGGCGGCCAAATTCTGCCAGTCCTCCTCGGTGAAGCAGATCACCTGCCAGATGGTGCCGTTGCTACCGATGCCCTTGCTACTGCTAGAGGCTCCGCCCGTTGATGTGGCTGAGCCTGATCCACCTCCTCCACCGCCCGATCCAGATGCTGAGGCCGCTCCGCTGGCCTTGTCCTCGCGATAGAGACGCGTGCCGTAAAAGTACCAATAGCCCGAGTTCTTGGCGTCGTAGCCAAGGGGCTCCACGCGCAGGCTGTCCGCCTCTAGATTGCTGAGAATGACCTGCACATCGGCCGAGTCGAGGCGGAAGTGACACAGGTCGTGCAGGATGTGCAGGCGCTTGCGCACGGGCAGCGACTGGAAGTCTATGTCCGTGTCAAAGTGGTTCTCGGTCTGGTGCAAACGACACTGTTGGCGCAGGAAGCGGCGCAAGAACATCTGATAGTTGCTGTGTGTGATTTCCTTGGCTACCGACTGTAGCGCATCGCAGCCCTTGAGCAGGCGCACAATTAATTCCGGCACTAGGGCGACCTGATCCTCATCGCTGGTACCATCGGAGAGCAGCGCCGATTCGAGGTCCTGTACAGTGATATAAAAATTATCATTTAATAGGGAATTTTAATCTGGGGAAAAGTCAGGGCCTGGAACCTCACCTCGATATCGATGTCAGGCAGATCAAAGGCAGAACTAAACAATGAACAGAAATGCGAAATACACGGTATCTCCCACCATGATTGAATGTCTGAAAAGGAGGGGAGAGGTAGTTATTAAAATAAATAATTTTAATAATAATTTTCAAATTATTATTTTTTTAATCCTATCTTTACTCACCCAGTAGGCCAATGAAAGTAGAAACCATTTATGTATGCTTGCTTATTGGAAACGTTGCTCCTCTGCGGGATTTGTGATTTCTTGACTAAAAACAATTCCGGATGCCTCTTTGGTAGCTTGCTCTGCGTGGATTTCGGGGCTGTTTGGAAAAGGGTTTTCAGGCGTTAACAAATTAGTTTCAAGTTACACACGAAAGTCCACCGAATGGCGGCACAAAAAGTGCGAGGCAAACATAAAAAATCTGTGCAACATGTGTGTGTGCGTGCTACTGCTGCTGTTGTTGTTGTTGTTGCTTGGTTTCTCTCTGAACATTTGGCGGCGTTATATACACAAACATCTGGGCTTTATCACTTATCACAGACATTGCGATGCACCGCAAAGGCACGCGAGGCGAGTGCCGTGGGCAGGGAGGTGGAAGTGGGATGGTAGGTCAAAAGAAAGTACACGAGCACCCCTTTCGCGCGCTTATTTTCACGAAGAGAAAATCAAAACAGACAGCCGACAAACGGAGAATGCTTGCGTTAGAGCGGGATGGCACGAGTGCCGCCGACCAATAGCGGCGCCGCTCACTTTTTCACGTTTGCATGCCGTCTCGCTTGCTCTTCATTACTATTTTGACTGCTGCATTCGTTTATTTTGCAATTATAATGTGCAATTTACACGGATCTTTGGGCAGTTGCTTTGGCCCAGGGCATCTCTCACGCGATTGCTGGGGCAGGGCTTTTATTGGGGATTTTTGGACGCGAACGGAGCGATGTGCGATGCGATGCGAGTCCCGAATTCAGAGCATGCGCGCGGGGGATGACGACGACGGCGCCTGGTGCGCCTTTTTTCTACCTCTGCCTTCCGCCTGCTGGCCAGTGTGTGTATTTATTTTTATTAATACACGTATATATATTTTTCAGTTACGTGCGAAAATGTCATTTAACTTAAGAGACGCCCATTTCCCCGATCAGCGCTGCGCTCTTTTCTTTCTCCTGCTTTCCCCCTCAATTTCTTTTTTCACACAAACACATAGAGGCACACACACGCACATAAGGGGCTCCATCTCCATCTGCCTTAAAATATAATTAATTATTTCACAACAAAAGCAGCGGGCGCAGCACACACAAACAACCGCAGCGTTGGTAAATACTTTGCTGGCACTTTGCAATCCCGTTGGTTCCGACCGTGGCGCAGATAACTCGAGTTTTCCGTTTTTTGCGCTCCTGGTTAATTTTATTTTCCTTCTGCTAGAGCTGCAAAAAGGTCGATGTCACTATCGATAATATCGCGGCAACGAGTACGATAGCGACTGCGAAGCAGTGTTGCCAGTTGCAAATTTGGCTTTCTCTGAAAAATCACGAAATGTTGACATTTTCAGTTTTCCCATAAAATTAAAAAAATTTAGTATTTGTTTAGCTAATTTATATATAAACAATCAATCTATTAAATAAATTTCTATAAACTCTTTGTTACTTTCTCCTCTTTTTGCTTCTTCCGCCGCAATCGATACATCGATACATAATCTCCAATTTCGCTTTCGTTTGCCATTCGGTTCTGCCTCTTCTCCCCACCCCTTACTCTGCTTCCTTTTCCTAGCCCCACACTGTGAATCTAACCTTACTTTTCGGCTCGCTATTTACATGGTGGCCTGCATGTGTGTGTGTTGTTGTTCCACATGCACGTTTGTCAGAGTGTGCGTGCATATTACCATGTAGGTTGCCATGTAGATCTAGAGAAACTACATGGCATAAACCGCGGGGAGCGGTGAAGGGCCATCAATTAAAGATTAACGCGAAATTTCAAAGGCAGCACAGCCGTTTTGCCGGAGATTTAAATAATTTAAAGTTTCTGCATCCATTTTAAATGTAATAAAGTCGCTATGTGAGTGGAACCACCGCCTTGCCTTGCGGAGTCCCACCATGTAGGTAGCATCTACATGGCGATTCTAGCTTACATGGTGAGACACTCTGCGAAACTGGTTTGGGAAGGGTTTTCTGCTCTAGAAAAAAGTGTGGTGGTGATTTTACAAAAGCCTCCCCCCAAGAATATATGACATATTAGCACAATTTTTTATTTATATTTTTATATATTGTAATTGTGGGTTTTTTTGTTTAGTTTTAGCTAGAGTTTTTTGGAGTCGGTTTAAGTGTTTCATTGAGTTTTTTGCTACTTATAAGATCTTTTTAAAAAATTTTTGATTTTCGAAACTATTTTATTTATTTCTAAAAGAAACTTGTAGAAATGTAATAAAAATTGGAAACAAAAATATAATCATTTCTGCAATAAAATGTATTATTTATATTACATTTATTTTTAATTTTGTTATTTATAAATAAAAACAAAATAAATTAGTTGAATTCTGTTTTTTTTTTTTTAATTTTGGATATGAACTTATTAGGTTTACTTTTAAAATTTTAGTCCATTTAAAAATTTAAAAACTTTTAATTAATCTAATTATAATTATTTTATAATTTGCTACATTTTTTCAAATTAAAATAAAAAAAAAGTTTAAAAACGTTTCCGTTTTTCTGTAAATTTTAAACCCAATATTTTTTAGTTGGTTTTTTAAACATACTAAAATATTTTGTAAACCCTTTTATTTATAATTAATACCCAAAACATCTCTTTTGTATTTTATACATACGAATGTAGTCTTTATTTTACTTGCTTTATTGATTAATTAGTAATTTATAGTGAAAGGAGGACAAATTAATTATTACAAATAGTAAACGGCTGTTTTTTCGCATGTGTGTATGAGTGAGGGTATTTACAAATGTGGATGCCGCAGCTGTGGCAGCTGGAGCAGCGCAGGCAGGTGGTGGGTCAGGAGGAGAAGCTGCTGCTGCTGCTCCTGCTACGGCTCGATCTTGCGTATCTTCAGGCCGCCGCTGGGGCCGCGCGATCCCAGCGGAACTGTGGCCACCGACGTCGCCGCTACAGATGATGTGCTCACCAGCTGGGGCATGAGAGAACCTCCGTTGCTGGCCTCCCCGTTGCCGCTGCCATTGCTGGATGCAGAGACAGCACCGTTCTGCAGGCGCCGCTTCAGCACGAAACGTTTGCCCGTCGGCGGGACTGTCGCAGTGGCAACGGTGGCGGTTTTTGCTGCCTGCGTGGGCAGCTCCTCGCTGCCGGGATCCACTTCCATGTCGGTGCCAGCATTGTTCTCGTCGTGCTGCTCGCTAGACGGCTCCTCGTCGTCGTGTCCCTCCTCCTCCTCGAATTCGGCGCTCTCCGTGTCCTCGGGATACTCCACCAGCTGGCCGTTCAGAGTAGGAAACTCGATCACCGGCAGGACGTGGCGCTGCTGCTGATTGCCCTCGTCCATTAGCTGCTGGATGAGATTGGCAATGTCCTCGCGCTTCTTGGTGACGGTGAGGAAGTCAAACCAGTTGGTCAGCTGCTTGATGGGCAGCCGGTAGTCGCGGATGGGCTCGCTGAAGAACTGCTCCACGTACTGCAGCAGATAGAGGCCGCAGTCGGTGAAGTTGTTCTGCTGCGGCACCTTGACACAGTGGCCGGGCATGTTGTCCTTGTTGAAGACGTGCGCCTGCGCATCCGGCTTCTTCACGCGGTACTCGCAGGTGAGATAATCGCGCAGCGTGGCGACCACGCGGCTGCGCGAGGCACCCGCCAGGGAATCAAAGATGAGTATCAGTGGCTGCTTCACGGCGGGCACATCGTCGGCACCGCAGGTTCTTGCCGGACCGCTGGACAGCGTGGGCTGTGAGGATGGTTTCGGGGTGCTGCTGCTAGCGGGCGTGGCCGAGGAGGTTTCCTTGGCGGAATTCGAAATCTCACTGTCCTCCGAGGCCATGTCGCTGTCGTCGCCCTCGGCCTCGTCACGCTCACTCTCATCGTCCGCTATGCGGCAGATATTATCCGCCGTCAGGGCGGCTGGCAGCTGTCCTCCTTCGCCCCTCTTCGCCAGCGGGGTAATGGTGGTGTTGCCTATCTGCAGGGAGACCTTCTTGCCCCGCGGACGCTTCAGCTGCTGCGGCTCCACCGGCTGGTTGGTATCATAAGTCACGGGTCCCTTGAGGTTGGGGAAACAGATGATGGCCAGGAACCAATGTGACTGCTCGTTTATGGGCACTATGATAAAGTCCTTGTCGAAGATGTCCACGCCCTTGGTCCACTTCTGGACGCGGGCATGTCGCTTCTGGGCCGCCGTCTGCTTCATGTCCGTGGGACGCGTTAGTGTCGTCAGGCGTTTGTAGAAAAAGGTGCTAAAGATGTGCGTGCGCTCGCGCAGAGCCTCCGGAATCTGCGTGTTGCGCAGCCAGACAAGGTAAAAGTCTATGATGATGTCGTTGAGGTACGACTCCTTGGTGAGGCACACATAGTCCTCCATTCGTATGCAAAGGCTGCCGGAGGTCTTGGGCGGATACATCAGAAGGTTGACCTGCTCATCGGCCCTCAGTTGGCGCGGCGGCGGTGGCTGCTGTGAGCTCTTGTCCAGTGCCTTTTTATCCGAATCGGCGAGTCGCTCCAAAATCTCAGCGGCATCAGTTGAGGATATCTCGTCCACACAGTTAAACATACCCTTGATGGTGCCTCGGGCCGTGTACGAGATGGTGTCAAAGATTAGAATGAGCCGGCGAATGTGGAACGAACTGTTGCCCTTGAAGCAGGTTTCTGGAAAAAGGGGTTGAAAAAAAAAGAGATGTGTTGGTTTGGAGACGTACATAACTAAACTACGATTGATTCTCTTTGAAAATCAAATCACAAATAAATTCAAGGTGACTCACGTTCACTGGCCTGATCGTCGGGCAGGAGGAGCTGCGTTTTCACATACTGGGCGCACGTCTTGAGCAGGTAGAGCGTGACGAGCGGCTTGGCGGGTTCCGCGCTGCCAAAGTGCGCTATTACCTTGATCACCTCGTGCTTGTAGATGTGCAGCGTGAACTTGGCATCCTTGTCCGGCACAATGCCCGTGATGCAGATTCCTTTCGAGGTGAAGGTTATCTGCAAATGATGCAAGGATGCAAAGAGGGTGCAACATGCATTTTATTATACACATTTCGGAACGGGAGAGGGGAGGGGAGGGGCGTAGGGACTACTCACCGGCTCTGTGATCTCGTAGCGGTAGGGCACCAAGCGGACGCAATTACAGCTCACCGACATGGAGAAGCGATCATTTTCCGGGATATCCGACAAATCTGTCACGTCACCGCGCACAAAGTCTGCCAAAAAAAAAACGAGAAAATGTTGAAATTCATTAAATAATGTAGTTCTTGTTGTCTCGCCTTTCTCTTCGTCTTCCTCGTGGCTTGCACGAGTCGCACATTTTCATTCACAAACACACACGCGAGCCTTTACCTTCGTCGTTCATTGCGTCTAAAAATGTTTAAACTAATAAAAACTATAAAAATCAGAGTCAGTTTTTGTCCTAGTTGTTAAAATTGCAAGAGAATTTGGGAAAACGATGTGTTTTCTCGTCTTCCCTTTGCGCTTTTCTTCCTCTATCGGTTTGCCTTGCGTAAAAATGGCGTGCTCTGTCGGGCGCCCCCTGTCGGAATGTCTGGGTAGCGCTTGCTTAGCGGCATTGCCAGCACAAAAAAAATAAACAAACAAACAGGCACATTGCTCTACATCAGAGTTGCCACGAAGGGGGTAAAAAAAAGAGCTAAAATAGCTAAACAGGGAAATTAGCTAATTAAATAAATTATACAAAATAATTTACTTGTTATACCCTTGCAGGGTATTATAATTTCAGTCAGAAGTTTGCAACGCAATGAAGGAGACGTTTCCGACCCTATAAAGTATATATATTCTTGATCAGCATCAATAGCCGAGTCGATCTAGCCATGTCCGTCTGTCCGTCTGTCCGTCTGTCCGTTTCTACGCAAACTAGTCCCTCAGTTTTAAAGCTATCTCAATGAAACTTTGCATATAGTCTTCTATATGCTCTCACTGCTATATATGTCGGAACGGGCCGGATCGGACGACTATATCATATAGCTGCCATACAAATGTTCGATATATTTTTAGAAAAAAATTATAACTTTGGTGTTTTTCAACGTTTTTGCACCATTTTTTAAATATGACCATTTTATATTATTTCTAAATTTTAGTAAAAATTTTATGAAAATCGGACGACTATATCATATAGCTGCCATAGGAACGATCGGGAAATTAATAGAAAAAAAATTATAGGTTCGTTGTTTTTCAACGTATTTTCATCTACTCTGGGATATAAGCTTATTTTATTATTCTAGAATTTTGGTATAAATCGGACAACTATATCATATAGCTGCCATATAAACCGATCGGTAGATGTATACAAAATCTAAAGCTGGGAATGCAAAACTGTAACTGTCAAACTGTAAACATAATAAGTATAGGTAAAATGTAATGAAATAATATCTGCAAGGGTATACAAACTTCGGCGTGCCGAAGTTAGCTTCCTTTCTTGTTTTTATAAATTTTAATAATTAATTTAAATAGCTTGCTTAAGTTATATTTCAAATTTTTTAAAACTCTCTCTAACTTTATAATCTGAAATTTTTAATGTATTAATTTAATGTATTTTTGAGTAAAATATGGATGTAGTATTTTTACTAAAAAAGGTTTAATGATTACTCTGGGTTAAAAAAAAGTCTATTTAAAAAAGGATAACTTTTAAAATTAAAAATTTTCTGATAACTAATTTAATCTGGTAAACAGAATTCTATTATACCCACAAAATATACCTACATCCCAGACTCTCAATAGATTAAATCGAATATATATAAATATATATAAGGCTCTATAATTAGGTCTTACCTTTGTACAGGGGCTCCTCATCGATCTCGGGCAGCTGCGGTTCGCAGGCAAAGGCGGCGGGCAACTGGTGGAGATTGCCATTTGAATTCAGTTTGAAATTTGTGGAGGGTTGCTGGAAAATACAAGTAAACTAGTTAGATAAGATCTAAAAACAACATTAAAAGGGTTAAGAAAATAAAAAAATTTATTTTCCTACTAGAAAAATATTAAAATTTAAAAAATCTAATCTAATTTATGAAATTTTTAATATTAAAACTATTCAACTTACATTTCCCGTCTCCGTGTTGGCCTCATCGGCATCGGCTTCATCCTCGCTGCTCAGCAGCACCACTGGATCCACCTCGGCTGCCCGCCTGCCGCCTCTGGCCCTGCCGCGTATGGCCATTCCTCCGCGGCCCCGGGCACCAGCTCCTCCAACTCCTGGATAGGCCACTCCCGCCAGCTGCTTGCCGTAGCGAGCCACGGCCGCCAGTTCACGTTTTTTCTCCGCCGCAGTTGCTCCTGCTGTCAGGGGCTGGTGCTGCTCACTGGCCGTTGATGAGGAGGAGGCTGGCGAGGAGGCAGCACTGGACTTGGCAATATATGACTTTCGTTTGGGGGGCTCCGGGAAGACGCGCTTGCAGCGCTCACAGCGGGCATGATCCATGCCCGTGAAGCCGCACAATTGGCACACGGCGAGGAAGCCATCGATGAGTTTGCGAGCCTCGGCGGGAGCGGCTGCTCCTGCGGCTGCGGCTGCTGATGCTCCAGAGGATGCTACTCCCACGGCATTCGTTTGATTAGCCGAACTGGCAGCTTCTCGTTTCGCCTGCTCGGCGGCGGCGTTTGCCTGGGCGTACGAAGGGCCGGTATTCGAGGAGGGTGCATTGGCAGCGGCTCCTCCGGCCACTGGAGCTGGGTTTTCCTGCGAACGGTTCATCTGCAGGCTCTCTTCCGCCCGGGATATCAACTCGCTGGCAGACTCGTTTACTGAGAAGCCCACGGTGACAATGAAATCCACATTGGCGCCGCGGTGCTCCACGCACTGAATGGTGGTGGCGTTGTCAAAGGGCACGCCGACCTGCTCGAGGAGATCCTGCACCGTGCAGGACTCGCGCGGCAGGGTGAAGGTGATCAGACGCTGCTCGCCGCTGGCCAGGATTACCAGCATTTTGGCGCTGTTCTTGTCGCGCTCTGCTATGGGCTGGCCAGCCCTGTTGTTCAGGACGTGCTGCGAGTGAATCTCGAAGTTGTTGTGGGAAGTCTGCTGCACGGACGAGCCCTGCGGAGCAGATGAAGCGGCGGCGGTGGCGGTGGGAGCGGTAGGAACTGGAGCCACCACTGGGGCTGGGATCGTCCTTTGGGGCTGCATAATACGTGTACCCGGCGGCAGACCTCCGCCTCCTTGGGTTTGCAGCTTGGGTGCTGGCCGCACTAGTGTTCCTCCTGTGGCGGCCCTCATGGGGGTGAGGCCGGGATTGGGTGATGGCGAAGCACTGAGGGTATTTCGCTTCTTGAACTCAGCCAGACTCATGCTGGCTCCTCCCGCGGTACGCATACCCTGGACCTGACCCTGCACCACCTGCTGTTGCTGCTGCTGCTGCTGTTGTTGGTCCTCTTCCTGGGTTGCTGCTCCTCCGCCGGGATAGTAGGTGGTCAGCGTGGTGCCGGCTCCTATCTGCATGGGAGGCAGCTGAGGGGGAGGCTGAGGCTTCTGCTGCTCCTTCTTGAGGACTGCCGCCTGTATGCGGTCCTCCAGGTCCATGCCAATACTGCTGTTGTTGGTGGATTGGACCACTCCACCCGTGGGATTGGCGGCAGGCGCTGAAGTAGGTACTGGAGCGGGCCCTGCCGAGGTCAATGCAACGGGAGCTCTGTAGCGAATGGGAACCTGGCGCATCATCAGCATGTGATGCTGCTGCTGCTGCTGGGGATTCCCGTCGGTGACCATATGGGTGCGATAGATATGGCGCTGTTGCTGCTGTTGCGGTTGAGCTTGCTGCTGCTGTTGTTGCTGCTGCTGCTGCTGGCCGAGATTCGTGCTGATGGTGATGTGCTTCATCGGGGCCTGGGTCACTATTTGCATGGTCTGACCTCCGTCGGCACCGCTCGCTTGCACCACCAACTGAGCTCGCGTTGGACGTATGCCCGTCGGTCGTATATTCCGCACGATTCCGCCAGGCACAGTGGCACCCACTACTCCACCTCCTCGCGGCCGAACTTGTCGTACGATGGTCGTCGGCGTTAGCATGGACCTGTTGGCGGCCACAGGGGTGCCGGGTCGGCCCACAACAGCTCCACCTCGCTGGGATTTCCCCCTGAAAGCGGCTCTCACCAATTGTGTTCCGCCGGGGGGAGTGGTGGCCACCAGCTGAGGCTGCTGCTGTTGCACCAGCTGTGGCTGTTGCTGCTGCTGTGGCGCCTGTTGCTGCGATGGCTGTTGCTGCTGCTGAACCTTCTGGACCTGCACCTGCTGATAGACCACGTTCTGGGTTTGCTGAGGGACAACGCGAGCCTGAACTAAGTGAGCGGTCTGAGCGGTGGCCTGGAGTTGCAACTGCTGTTGCTGCTGCTGCACTTGCTGCTGCTGTACATGTTGCTGCAGGACGTGCTGTTGCTGCTGCTGCTGCGGGGAAGTGGTGTAGACAACGCGGTTGTTGTACGGATGAATGGTGGTGGCCTGGCGCATAATCAGCTCCTGATGCTGCTGGGCCTGGATCAATACCGGTTGCTGCTGGACGATCACATGAGTGTTGTTCAGCATACTTATGGGTCTTTGGGGTTGCTGGGTGGTTGTCATACGATAAACAATTTGTTGATGCTGCTGCGGCTGCTGCTGCTGGGCAGGGGACGTTTGCAGCTGTAGCGTTTGTGGCTGCTGCGCTTGAGGGTGCTGCTGCTGCTGTTGCTGCTGCTGCAACTGGGACTGCTGCTGGGGAGAAGCCTGAACCTGATAGGTGGGCGCATGCTGCTGGTATTGCTGCTGCTGTTGTTGCAGCACCTGCTGCTTCTTTTGCTGCTGCATGTGCTGGACAATGGCATTGGGCTGTAGTACTTGCTCTGAGGTGTAGTAAATCTGCTGCGTATGCTGAATGGCGGGCTGCTGATGTTGCACATATTGTTGTTGCTGCTGCTGCTGTTGTTGTTGTTGTTGCTGTTGCTCCATGTGGAGTTGCTGCTGTTGCTGCTGGGCATCTTGTTGCTGCTGGTAGTGTACCTGTTGTACTTGGTGTTGCTGATGATGCATCACAACTTGCTGTTGTTGCTGCTGCTGTTGGTGTTGCTGCTGCTGCTGCTGTTGGTGTTGCTGCTGTTGCTGAGCCAGATCATCGCTTCCTATGATATGGTAAGCAGGTGCAGGCGCCTGTTGCTGCTGCTGATACTGGGCTGGAGCCGCGGTTTGGTATACAACCTGCTGCTGATCATTGAACACCAATTGCTGGTCGTCCTGCAGCACCAAGGACTGCAAGTAAAGTTGGAAAATTATTGTTAAATTGAAGAAACTAGCGATTTTTTGATACTACTCACCCCAACCTCATCTTGGGGCATTTGCACTACCTGCAAGTCCGAGTAGACAGGGTCCTCTAAGGGCACTATATATTGCTCCATTTTTTAAGAGCTGAAAAGTCAGGGAAAATTTTGTTTAAATTAAATTAATATAAATAATATTTATAATTTTTAATTTTCATAAAAAAAAAATTTTTTTATTACAAAATATTTTTGTTTGAACTTTTTTTGCTTTTCTCTGCAACAAATACACACAACTAATGGAAAATCCATAAATAACACATAAAAGGGGAAAAATCAATGGAATATATGCATTTATATGGCGCACATAACCAAACAGTCTTGTTATATATAGTCCTCAACATATTTTTTCTATTTTCTACACATTTTCTGCACAAATAACTGTGCATGCGTCTCATTTTTGGAACCACATACAAAGGTAGTGTAACGAACCTGCAAACACATGCATAGCAAAGGGTTAAAATGCTAATTTTTTACACTTTTCAGGCCGCCAAAAACAATTGTTTTTGTTTTTCTAGCATATTTTAGCCTTTTTCACATATATTTGACCTTTTTAAGGCACATTTCTTATACAATTACTGGGCATTTCTTGCGACTAAATTTTTTTTCTTTTTGGTCATTTCACACACACACAACAAATACCCACCTCGGAGACTTTCCCGAAAACGCAACTTTGTGACGCCGCTGGTGATGTTCGCTCGCTGTATCACTTGTGCCCGGGTTAAACCATATTTTGGTTGGCTCTTTTCACTATTTTAAGGGCAAAAGCTAGCATTTTTGCTTAAAAATTCACGCTTTCTTCGGTTTTATAAAATGCAGCAGAATCAAATATGGCGTTCAATGCAGAGTAGCATTTCTGGAGAAATTTCGCGCTGGCAACGCCGTCTGCACGAGCGCGCCCCCTGGCGGTTTCGCCGCTCTGCAGCTGTTTACAAACATTTAGCAGCGTTGTGTTTTGTGCTGCTGGTTTATCGATGTCCGCTTTGTACCGTCGTCTTCGCCTAATGTTTAGTGGTCCCTCTGTTTGGCATGTAGCCCATTTATAGGGACCACTAAACTTTCGGACCACTGGAGTTGGCTTGAAATCGACTGATTTTCGCGTTGAAAGCCGTTTTCCAGGCATTAATTTTATTTTCGGCAACATATTGGAGTTATAAAGCCGGAGTTGCGTGATAACGGATTTTTTTCGGCAATTATTATCGCGGTTTTTGGGCACTTGTGTTTTGTTGTTAGCAGCGCGCTCTGCGAATTGGGGGAAGAAGCAGACGGTGCAACAACAACATCAGGCGTCAGGGATGGCAGGCGGGCGATAGGCCCAAAACCGATTATTTTCGACATTTTTCAAATTTTCATCGCTTAAAAATTGAGAAATATGTGTTTTTAAAAATAAAATATATATGAAAAATATAATAATAAGAAAAATGTATCTAAATAATATAAAATTAGCCCCGTACCATCGATAGTGACGAAAAACTATCGATGAAGGCTCAGAAAGGGAAAAATTCGATACCTCGATAGTACCATTGATAGGTTCTGCATAAAAACAAAACAAAATAACAAAATGTCAAAAATATTTACGCCCACGAATCAAATTCGACTCACAAATGTCGCGATTGTGCGACTTAAAAAGGGAGGCAAGCGATTCGAGATAGCCTGCTACAAAAACAAAGTCCTTTCCTGGAGGAACAACAGGTAAATTTACGAAATTCCAGCACGTGTTGTGATGAAATATTAAACTAGAAAATTATGCGTAATTTCCTAATAACTCCAGCGAAAAGGACATCGATGAGGTCCTGCAAACGCACACAGTGTTCACGAACGTGTCCAAAGGACAGGCTGCCAAGAAGGACGAGCTGCAGAAGGCCTTCAACAAAACGGATGAGACCGAGATCTGCAAAGAAATCCTGAGCAAAGGCGAGCTCCAGGTCTCGGAGAAGGAGCGCCAGAGTGTCCTGGACACGCAGCTCAACAGCATAGTCAACAGCGTGGCCGCTCTGTGCGTGAATCCAGAGACTCGTCGCCCCTACTCGTCCTCAATTATTGAGAAATCCCTAAAGGATGCCCACTTTTCCGTCAAGATGAACAAGAACACCAAGCAGAACACACTGGAGGCCATCAAGATGCTGCGGGAGCACCTGCCCATCGAGCGATCGCGCATGAAGCTCCGCGTCAGCTTTGCAGGCAAGGAGGGTGGCGGTAAGCTGAAGGAGGCGGTGGTCAAGCTGGCCAACACCGTGGAGCACGAGGAATGGGAGGAGGCCACCCTGCATCTCACTCTCCTCATCGATCCCGGCCAATATCGTGTCATTGACGAGCTGGTGAGGAACGAGACAAAGGGCAAGGGACTGCTGGAGCTGCTCGAACTGAAGGAGGTGGTGGAGAGCGAGGAACTCTTCTAGGAAACACTGAACTATGAAGAATTTGATGTAAATTGTGGCTTCTTTTGTTGATATTTATGTGAAACATAAAGGAAAATACTTTAAAATATATAGGGCATCAGTTTTTAAAATCAACTTTGAAAAAATGTTATAAAATTTGACTTTTTTTAATCGATTATATTTAAAACATTTTAAAAACTAAAATTTAAAATACATTTCTGTTGATTTTTAATTGATGTTTTTATAGTTTTGATAATTTAAACTTTTCCAAAATTATATTTAAAGTAGCAATACGGTTTTAACAATCAAAAACTTAATTTTTCATATAGAAAAAAGAGAATATAACAATTTAAGGGGAGGATATATGCTTGCTAAAAGTTCCCTGACATACAAATCTATGGATATTATTTATATAGAACAGAACGGAGATTATTTGTATAAAATATATAGCTTATGGAAGGAATTTCCTCCGCTTTACTTCCGCTTCTTGAGGTTCTCAAAGCGACGGGACAACTCATCGAAATCAATCTCATCGTCGTCGTCCTTCTTCTTTTCCACACCCGCTGATGGGACATCCGGCAAATCGTTGGGTACATTAGGCAGCGATGGGAAGTCCAAGGAAGCCGGCGGAGCACTGGGCTGCTGGGCAGGCGGATTTCCCGGCGGCAGCTTGGATCGAGGTTGAGGTTTCGGTTTGTTGGCATTCTGTGAAAGCAAATATAAACAATAAATTAACAAATTCTTCTCATAATCATTTGTAACCCCAAAATTAAAGGCCCAAGTTTATGTCCTGACCTGCAGGTTTACAGGATTAATCGAGGTGTAACGCGGCGGCGGATCATTATCGGGTTTGGGGCGCTGTCAGGCAAAAATTAAACAAAACAAAATGCAAATCATAAATAAAAACGAGGCCATAAATGATCAAATAACCAACATCCGAGACAAGCAAACTGATAACACAACGGGCAGGCGGGCAGCAAAACTATGAATCACTTGGATGACTGGACTTACAGTGGATACACGGGCACAGGCACAGAAGACATCACACAGATAGACAGAAAGAGAACCCATAGAAGCGGTGTACGTTTGTTTAGTGGATGTGGTAAGACGATAAGCAAGTTAGTTTTGGTTTTAAGAGCACACTACACCGAAATAACCTACCAAGATGTTCTCATCCGGGCTGCCGGAGTCATCCGTAGTGTTCGATTCACGCTGCAAGACAATGGGGCCAAAGAAATACATGCAAAGACATGCGAAAACTTGACTAAAAATTGTTACTTCTAAAAACAGCTGTGATTGGGGTTAATGAAGCGTTTAAAAATTAGGTTTTTTTTTAACTAAAAACAAACAATTTTGTGGAACTACAAAGTTGTAGATGAAATAGAAGAAGGGAGAGAGAGAGTATAAGAGAAAATAAAGCCTAGAATTTACTTTAAAAGCTTAACCCCAACACAGCTGTCTTTTAACTAAAAGCATTTAGCATTTTCTTTTAAAAAATAATTACTAAATAATGAACTTATCACTTAAAAGTCTCAAAATAATATTTACATTGATAAAGTTGGTGTTTAGATCCTTCTCCTCTGAGCATTTAGGAGGCAACACAGCAGGCGACGCCGGCTGATGCGGCGGTATGTTGTAGGCAAACGGCGGTGGTGGCTGCTGCGTGGGTGGAGGGACAGCACAGGCTCCCCCTCCTCCACCACCACCACCTCCTCCGAAAGGTGGATAGTTAAACGGCTTGTTGCTGGGCGGCTCCGGCATTTGGGGCAACGGCGGCACCTGTGGATATCCTATAAAACCCATCTGCGGCGGCGGCATGCCTCCGGGTCCTCCACTCAGGTTATTCTTATCGGACAGATCAATCAGGTGCTGCTGTGGCGGCTGATCCTCCTGCATGACCTGTGGATCTGGCTCATACTCGATGTTGTAGTTCTTGGCTATGGCTATGAGGTACTTCTCCACCAGCAGCTTCGGGGGCGCCTGCAGCGTGAGCTTGTGCATCAGTTTCTCCGAAACGAAATGCTCTCCCGTGGCAGTGCGCGAATGCTCGGCGAACTCCGGCCCGTATTTGCTCACAAAGATGTCCGAAATGACCTTTAGCTCGGCAATGTCGCTCTGGAGGCGGGGACACACCCACACCAGGCTGGCCACCGGCTCGGCAATGCCTGTGTCCAGCTCTTTCATTTGCGTGATGAGTCCGAAGCGGGCGAGCAACAGGTCGCAGTACATTTCCACCATTTCCATGGCTTCCACCAGGTAGTCCTCCCTGCAGAGAAACGGGAGTGCAGTGAAAGGGAGATCCTTGTATAGCTTATAATTCCACCAAACCCCGCAACATACCTTATAATGTGCTCTACACGAATGCGAGCCCTCTCCGTCTTGCCCGTGGCCAAGTAGTCGGCAATCTCCTTCCTCGATTTTTGCGTCAACTCCGCCTTCTTCTTTTCCAGCAATTTGAGGCGGTTAAGAGCCAATCGAAGATTGGTCTTCAGCTTGTTGTAGTTGGGGCCGCTGGAGAACATTCTGAACGTCACCTTTGGCAGGTAAATTACTAATGAAAACAAGAGATTTCGCCTTGTGACTCATAAACTCGGGAAAAAACAATTGGTTTCGTGACGTCACGGGAAGTAGTGTGACCAGACAGCTATTAATTGTTAATACCAACTATCGGTTCACGAAATTGGCGCAGCCAGACAAAGCGAGGAACATCAGCATTTTTCTTCATTTTCAACGTTTCAAGCTATTTGCAACATTGTAAGGAATGGGTGGCCAGTCCATTTTCTGCAGAAAAACGCTGGAGAACTTTGAAAAAGCCTTGAGACTGGGTCAATGACCCGCAAGAATCCTTGTGTCAATGGCGTTGCCATACTGGACAAAGAAAAGGCTGCCATTTCATTCGATAAATTAATCGAAAAAGTGGGATTCCCCCGCGATTTTCGGGTTTCCTCTGAGCTTTATTCGTTGAATTTTTCGGGTTAACACAAAAACCTTTAACAATTGTGGACAATTTGCCGTGTCTTTCGTGTCGCCGCCGCCACTGTGCTGTTGTGTTTGGCGTCCGGCGAGTCCTTCCAAGCCGCCAGACACAAAAACAGAGGTGCGAGCGCACAACAAGCGTTCCTCGAAGTCGTAGCGGTACTTTCGCGTCGCGTGTGTAAATATCGTGTGTGTTTGTGTATGTGGAATCAAAACTTCAACTAATCTTGAACGAGAAATCAATCCTAGAGATGCGGTTCTGGAGCTGGTGGCGGGGGGCACTCTTCCTCCGTCCCCGTTTCGCAGGGGCACGCCTCCAGCTCGTCGACCATGCAGCCCTCCTCCTCGCAGACGTCTGGCGGTCCTGGCGATGGCTCTGACTCGGCGTCTCGGTAGCCGGCATAGATCTCGGCACGCTGCTTGATGATCTCCTGGATAATGGCCGTGAGGATCTCGCGCGAGTCCACAATATGGCCAACCTCCTCGGCCACCTCGGCGGATAGCCAGGGGCAGATGCTCTTCATCAGCTGCTCCTTCTTGACGGCATCGCTGGCCGGCTCGATGTTCTCGAGGACCTCGGGCACCAGACTGGCAATGTGGCCTTGGAGCAGCTTGGCCGCCGTCACGCTCTTCTGCATCTCCTCGTCCAGTTCCTTGGCAATCTTGTCCTGGCGCAAACGGCGCTCCTTCTCAGCCTGCAAGCGCAGCTCCTCGGCCTCCAGGCGGCGCAGCTCGGCTAGCTCCGCCTCGCGTTGCGCCAGGAATCTGTGGATGCGTTTAGTTAAAAGTTAAATCCTGGAAGGAATCGTTTTTTTGATGACTCACTCTTCCTGCTTGCGCCGCAGACTCTCTAGTTCCATCTCATGGGCCACCTCCAGCATGCTCTGTTCAATGCAGGCGTCCACCAGGACATCGATGATCGGCTGGGCCTCGGCATCGAAGTGGAAGAGCTCACCGTCTCCGATTTCAGTGCCCACATCCACGCCCACCTTTGCGGGAACAAATGGCGGTGTGGGCGGCTTCTCCAGGAACAAATCTGTTTGGGTATCCACGTTGAACTCTGGCGGTCGTTGGACCAGCTTCTCCAGATACTTTTCCGTTTGGATCGTCTCGTGTTTGCGTCCCTTGACTGGCGGTGGTGTTCCCAGGACGTTTCTCTGATTGCGACACTGCACCGTCCGCTTGCGAAGCATATTGCGGCGCCTCAATTCGGCGGCCTTGTCGAAGGGATCCACATCCGTCTGGAGGCGTCAACAGAAAAGTGGATTAGTCCCGGGTCAGGGCTGACAGAGAACTGAGAAAATGCAGCAGGATATTTACCACCAAGGAGGCGTTGCCGAAGTTGCTGCCCTTTATGACGCGACGGTCGTACATGACGTTCTTGTAGGGCTCTGGCGGCGGCACGATGGGTCTGTGGAGGAGGAGGAGAAGCGCAGAGAAAGGCAGAAGAAGCAGGTGAGAAAGCCATCAATTAGTAAACCTCGACCCAGTTCAACAAACTCCCACACTGGGAGAAATAGTTATAATCCTTATAAAAGAGCTTAACGGTTGATTAAAAAGATTAAAAAAGTTATTTTTGGACTAAAATATTATAAAAAATATATATAAATATATATAAAGAACAAATTTGGAAAAAATACCTCCCTTCAGGGTATCCTTAATTCGGTTAGAAGCTTAAAACTCAGTCAAGGAGTCATTTTCGACCCTATAAATCATATATATTCTTGATCAGCATTAACAGGCGAGTCTTTTTAGATATTTTCGAGGGAAAAAATATTTTATAAATTTTTTTCAAATTTTTATATTTAGAAAATTGCCAAAATATTGCAAAAAAATTTAAAATTGTTTAATATTAAATTTAGTATGCCGATTTGTTAAATTAATAAAAACTAACACAGTGCTGTTTTCCGATTTAAAATTACATCATTTTTGGAATAGTTATGATATTTTTAAAATTCGAGGGTATTTAAATTTTGGCTTCCCGAATTTTAATTAAGACATTCAAATAATAATTATGCCTTAAGATCAAAGCTGATCTTAAAATTTGTAATTATAAAATTTAAAAATTCACTTAAGATATTTTCCATTACCAAATAATATTTCTATTTTCACAGTGTACTATTTGTATTTATATTTTCTGTTACTCTTTTTAGAAACCTTAAATCTGTTGCACTGCCAAAGTCGCGATAACCATCAAATTTGTGCATTTTCTCAACGCCCTCGCAGGCCGCTTGTCAAGTCATCTCCGATTCGAATCAATTTCCCAAAGTTCACTACACTTTTGGGTCAAATGGCAGAACTCCTACGCCCAGCGTTAAAGCTTTAAGGTTACAAGACAGAGAGAGAGTCCAGTCGGTGAGTAGTAATTTATGACTTGCTAATCTTTATGTATAAGAACGGCCAAGTAAATGGGGGAATTACATACAGTACATACACATATAAGGTAACATTCTCAGACATTGCAAATGGGAAGAACTTGGCACCTGAACTCGTGACCTATGCAAATTTTTCAGCCACTTTTGGCCCACAAAACAGGAAGTCACATTGAAGTTACTGGCTAACAAACAACAACGACGACGACGATGTGTTTCTCTCTGGGTCTGGGTCTAAAGACCGAAAAGGAAGACCAATCTGGCTAAAGGAGTGGGGGGAGCTGCACACCCTCTCAAGCTCTATCCTCTACCCAGTAGGGTCTTCCTTATGTCCTATTAGTCAAACGCTTCTATGGCCTTCTTATTGCCACTTTGAATGATATTACATATTATTCTATTAACCCTTTTTTTTTGGTCTCATTTGCCAGAATAGCTTTCCATCATAGGTGTCCTTTTTTTAGTTGCCTTTTTGGTGTGGTAATTGAACTTAATTTCCCTCCATTTGTGGCACTTTTTTTTACTCCAGTTTTTTCCTGGACATATCCCTGCCCTTTGTTGTTGTTTACGAAATCTTGATTTAAATTATTTAAGCTGGGTTCGTTAGGGAATATAGAATATTCTCCTTTGGCACGACACATTCGAGGTCCTTTGTTCGCATGTCCTTTTTTATGCAAGGCGAAACAAATGTAGTTTTCCCGATACGAGAATGCGCTAAATAAATTAATCACATCGCTTGGGGGAATTTACAATGTCCGAATGTTATTGGAAAAACATTTCTAATTGAATTGTTGAAGAGTCAATGGGAGTTTTTAAATAATTAAATTATTGGGGAAAGGATAAAGGGTAAAGAGCTTAGCTTAAAGTAAATGTGGAATACCTTGAAATAAATTAGTATACTTTTTTGGAATGAAATTATATTAGAAAAATTTCAGAGATACCAAAAATATCTTTAAAAACACTAAATTATTTTAAAAGTAATCTTAAAGGATTAACCCCTTGAAAATATTAAGTTTTATAAAAATCTTCAAGGGAGACGAAACCTTTAAGGAATAATATATTCTTATACATTTTCTAATTTAAATATATTTATTAGAGATCTTTAGGTTAAGTTTTTAATATAAAATGTTGAGGAATTCAGCAGAAATCTATTTCAGATTTTAAAAACACTGTTAAGATATTGCCTTAAAATATTTCCATCCCTGTTTTCTAAGTTATTAAATTTAAAAGCATATTTTTGAGATAATTCCAATATTTTTTAAAATTTTTTATCAATAGCTGAGGCTTTTTTTATATAAAGATTCTCTTTAAATGAAACAAAAAATACTTCTCTAGCTATCAGAAAACCCCAAAAGGTCAAACTTATACTATAAATAATATATATTACATGTTTTTTTGACCAAAATTAGAACTCTTTGTTTCGTTTTAAAGCCAACAAATACATTTGTAATTGAATTGTTAAGCTGTCAATCGATAAAAGGCCAGTAAGCGGTAAGCTGTGGGGAGCCTGCCGCTTGATTCTGGTGCCCCCGCCGGTGTATATTTCTCATTTGAATTTATGGTAATATATTTTGGCCCACTTTGTGCTGTGGTCAGTAGTTCCCCCTTCCATGCCACCTGCCCCACTTGCCCCATTCGCTTGGGGTTGGCCTTTTTATTACCTCTTGTCGCTTTGGTTGCGACTCTGCTGCAATTGCTGTTGGAACTGCGCCTTGGTGATGTGCAGGCCACCGGCCAGGGATTGCGAGGAGTCTTGGTTGGATTTGGAGGCCGCCGCCGTCGTCGCCGCCGCCGCAGCTGTGGCAGCTGCCAACGCCGCCGTGGCACGCACTCCATTCAACCGAGTGGCTGTCACCTTGTGCTCCCTGCTCTCGCTTACTGGCGGCTGCGGCTGTGCCTCCTTGGAGTAGTAGCTCTGCAGGATCATGGGATACGAGGAGTAGGCGTAGACATGCCTCCGCAGCATGGTGGCCGGGATCATTTGGACTTCGTGCGGCGGTGGCAGGAAAATGCCCTGCGGCACTGTGGTCTCGAAACGCGGCCGTTGTGCCATTGCGTTGTCTAACCAGGCGCCGGAACCGGCACTATGACTGCCACCAGCGTAGTTCTCCTCCGGCGCCAGGAAGCGCAGCTTCTGGCTCAGCTCATCGGCAAAGCTGCGCACTGGATCCTGGTTGCTGCGTGAAAAGAAGGATCTAGCGGGGGCCTCTACATGCTCATGATCCCGATCCCGATCCCTGATCCCAGCCGCTTCCTCGCGGCGTATGGTGGGCCGCACGATGGCCTGCTGGGGTCTTGCTGCTGGAAAGGAATCGAGGTGTTCCTGCTCCTCTGAGGGCTGATGACGCAGCACGGAAAAAGCGTTGGTCACCACGTGCTGGAAATTGTAGGGGCTTTGATAGCGCTGGACGTTGTAGGAGTTGGAGTTGTAGTTAGAGTTGTAGTTGTTGTAGTTAGAGTTAGAATTGGAGTTGGAGCCACGTCCTGGTGCGTAGGGATAGCTGCTGGCAAAGGAGAAGTTCTGCACACGCTCTGGTCTATTGTTGGGAAAGTGTTCTGGATCTGAGTTGGGTGCTGGGTGCTGCTGCTCCGGCTGCCTCGCCTCTGGCATGGTCTTCTTCTCCTCCAGTTTGTCCGCTTCGGTTATCCCTGCTTCTGCTGCTCCCACCGGTGGCCACCGGTCGCCTCGTTCATTATAAATAGCCACCACTCGCTCTCACACACACACACACCGCGCAAAGAGTTCCGAAAAAGTTAATCAATATTTTTTCCACTATTTTGTTTCGGTCAGGTGTTGCTCGCTCGCTCGCTTGGTTCTTTGTTGGGTTTTCACGGCGGAACACCACGTACCGCACGGTTCGAATGGCAAACGCCAAATGACCAAAGGACTCGCAGGACTCGAGCTCGGACCCGGTTTCGAATGTGTTTCGGCCCGTGGTCAACAGTCGGACGGGGGCACTTGGAGAAATTGGGGGTACTTAATACTAGGAATTATTTCTTAAAGGACTTTAGTGATTTAAAAACAATTGAAATGCTGCCTAAAAGTATGCTATGGAATATTTATCCATGCCATTTATGTTTTGTTTCTATAAAGTCAAGCATATTATCATCTTCACAATCAAAATTATTAATTAATTATTCATTTATATTAACTAACTTTAAATCTTATTTAATTTACTATTTTTCTTCGAGTGTCTCTTCGGCTTTACATCGTAGTTTGGGGGCCTGACCGTTGGCAGGTGTTGCAATAATAATGCGAACTGTTAACAGGCGGCGGCCATCCAAGTTCCCAAGAATTCTACTTTGCATAAGAGCTTGGTTTTTTTTCCCTTGCCTTGCCAATTAAAGGTTTTACCTGGTAGTAACTGGTGGGACCTTGAATTTTATTCGTTGGTGTCCACATTTCCGCTTACTTTGCTTGGGAGATGACTTCACGCATTTCGCGGGCTGACATTGAAATTGGAGGTGGGTGGTGCTTTAGTTCTTTTACTTGGAACTTCTACACCCGGCTAATGTCAATGGCCAAGGTCAATCGTTTGAACCTTCCTGATAAGCGGAATTCTAGGGAGCTTACTGAGCATAATTAAGTGGATTTCTAGGCACTCCAAGGAGGGTGACCAAGTGGTAAAGGTCAGGGAGTAGATGCATATGAGAGATTATGGTGGACACCTATACTTATTTTGAAGCTTTCTCATTACTCATTAGTTTTTGAGATCATCGAAAGTTGTTTGGTGACCTTAAACCTTTCCAAAAATTGAATTAACTTTGGAATAATTATCTTGAATTTAAGGGCTTCTTAATTGACCTTAATTCCATTTTAACTTTAATAGAAAAATAACTTAGCTACAACTTTATATCCAGACATTAAAGTTGTCCTTTATTTTTATCAATTTTTACGATCATCCTTATTGTTATTTGACCTTAATCCGACCCAAAAAGTCCAGCCCCAGTCATTATCTTTTAGATATATGTATATATTTTTATGATAGTGCGTCAATTTCTAGTTTTAAGCACTCAACGACTTGCACACTTCTCGTAATTTTCCCTTCATCATTCCACAACCTATATATACTCTATATTCCTTTTGTTCCCTTTCGGGACACGAAGGTTTCCTTTTCCGTTCACACAGAAATTGGTGGCCGTGGGTTCGCGTGTCCTTTGGCTAGGCCTTTGTATATTGACCATCGCACTGCGCCGCGAACATGGCCAGCGTTTAATAATTTATTTACGCAATTTATGACTTTCGTTTTTTGGTCTTGGATTCCATTGACCCCAAGTTAGGGGGGAAATCCCTTTCTGCAAGCGTGACAGGGACTGACAAGGACTGACAAGGATTAAGATGTGATATTTGAACGATACCTGTTACTTAATTTCGATTGATTTTTTGTTGGTCTTGAATTTATTAATGACAATTGAGACAGTTGAGATTTGTTGTGTTATTTAATAGGATATTTTTTGTTTTATTTATTTACATATGTATAGGTTTAAGTATAATATTTTTGATATCATATTTGTAAGCTTGGCTTTAAAAATCTCTCATTAAAATCGCTAAGGATCTAAAATCAACTAAATATGTAATTAAAAGTATGCAATAAAGTATTTTAGGACCCAAATTGCATCTGTTATATTTTGTAGCATACTTTTGAATAGAATATCAGACTGATTTTAAAGCTTCTTGCAGCATTGAACTTATACATACTTAATTTATACCATATTTTCTTTAATAAAAATTCAAAAAATATAGCCCACTTTCCCTATCCCCCTACAGGGTACCAAAGAACATTCTTTGGGTGTTGTCTGTTTACTACTCACTTGGGGCAACCTTTGATTTTGATCGGCTTGGGCTGGCTGGCCCACCAGAAGGCCTGCTTGCAGGGTGGAGCCGGGCACGGGGTATCCTGCCACTTGAGCTGCATCTCGGTGACCTCGGTCCGATTGATGAGGAAATCCATGCCCGAGCCCTTGCCACCGCCACCGTTGGGCTTGTAATCGCGCTTGGGTATCGTCGGCATGTTGTATTTCACTTTACTGCGGTTTTCGAGTGGGTTTTTCGCGTTTTACAAAAAATAATATTTAGAATTCGGGGGGAGAGAGGTACGGCCGCTGTCCGAAATTATGTGTAAAAAAGTATTTCTATTGAATGACACATTTTCAAAGCACTCTTGGTTTTTTCTATGTTAAATTTGAAAGTATTTTGGGTAAGATTATTATTTATTTTGATTTTTTAGTTGGGTTCTGGTTGTTTTTTTGCTGACTTTGGGCTAGAATTTGTATCCAAAATAAACAACAACGGCGGAATTTGCTCAGTTGCCATGGGAATTCAATGTCGGCATTGTTAAACTGTTGCTGTGTGGGGATGGGTTTCCCAGCAAGGAGAGAGGTTGAGGCTAAGGATTCAGTTGTAATGCGGATTATTCGATAGATTTAGGGGATTTCTTTTTACGTAAAAAATCGGAATTATTTGGGTTTAATTTACAAATTCTATGATTTTTATTGGGTACTCCCAGGTCACTCAACTTCTCCATATATTTATTATTCAGAACTGATTGCCTTTCAGTGTGGGTTTATCTATTTATATATCTCTTAATCAAATGGAAACCGAAGTAACAAGTCACCGAATTTACTTCAAGGAGCTTTAGCTCTTAGCTTTAAGCTTTAAGAACGAAGTTGTAGCTTTTTTATTTTTTAAAACCAAAGATATATTTTTTAAATATTTTTATTTAATTAAAGTTTGGCACATTTAGATATAATTTTTTGTCTTGCTATAACAATAAGAGCAGAATGTTAAGGGTTTGTTCTTAGCTTGAATAAATAGCTTAATAGCCCAAAAACTAACCTCTAACTGAGAAACATGGCTAGATCGATTGGACTGATGATGCTGATCAGTAAAATATACCTTAAGGAGTCGAAAATTTCTTGTAATAAAAGCCAAACTTAAACTTGATTTTTTTCAAAACAAAAATAATAAATTATGACCTTTTTTTTTATTGTTTGTCTTTCAGATATTGTAAACAATTTTTTTTAATTGTTTAAATTGGTATCTTAACAGTAAATGTTAATATAATGTAAACTGCTTTACCACCGTTTGGACTGCTTGTTTGCCGAGTGTGGACTGGTTTTGGACTGCTTAGCCACATGGACTGCTTACAACATGGCAAATAAACAAGCAGTTAACTTTAAATTTAATTATTTAATTTTAACTATTTTAAATTTAATGATTTAAATTTAATTATTTTTGATTTAATAAAATACACTTAAATTTGTTAAAATAAAATTATAAACAAAAAATTATAAAAATGATATGAATGAAATAATAAATTCAAAAACCAGCAATCAAGAGTTTAAAAATATATTTTTTGAAAATAACTTAATATATTCACATAAAAAAGTATATTATTTGTATAAATAATAATAATAAATTCTATTTTGGATAGGTTGCCTTCTATATCATATCTGAATTCGGTCCCATTAATTCCTTAACTTTAAAAATGACTCGAAAGAAATAAATTTCCCCATTCATTTATCAAATATAGAAGCTAAATCTGCCTTGCTATCCGTTTAATCCAATTGCAACTGAACTCCGCCCCGAAAACCGAATCAAATTTCCCCGGAACGTGTCATTTAATTGCATTTTTCCAATCCGTATAAATATCTGGAGAAGACTATCAAGTGATTGTCAATTATTCCCCTCAAACACGACATCCTTTGTATTGTTTAGCTTATTATTCATTAACAAACAGCGTCGAAGAGGGAACAAAACTGACTAACAATGACTTGGCTGTCAGCAATGACATTTCGTTTTCATGCGGGGGTGATAATTGTCAACTTTTGTGACTAAACAAACGATCGGACGAACCCCTTCCGTCAGAGTTCCCGGCTGCCTAATAAGATCACTGGGATAAGGGGACAAGACCATGACTCGACTTCTGCTCACTGTTTAAAAGGATGCTTACCTAATGATGCCCACACACACACTATCAGCAAGGCGACGCCAGGAACCGATCTCTGATACGGTTTCTGCCCGGTTTCTGCGAAGGTCTGTTGTCAAACAAATCATTTACAGATCCTGCGTAGGCGGAGGTGTGAGCTGCAATTTTCCCAGGAAAACTATATGGCCGAGATTTGATTAATTTATTACCCAATTTCCAAGGGGAAAGTGATCTTCGGAGGCCCTAACGGTCGAGGATCGTAAAAAACGATCTGTTGGGAGAGAGAAACAATTGTAAAATAATCTGCGGGCTGCCGTTTGTGGGCTTGTCTTTATTTTGTTTTTTTATAAGTTATTTATGTGTGGAACTGGCGCCATCGTGGAAATAAAAATATAGATTGAGTAAGGCTGTGAAAATAAAGGTTTTTTGATATATATATTTTGCTTTTATTAAAATATTCTGCTGTTAAAAAAGCTGACAAAAATTGGGGATAATAAAATTTATAAAATCCATTAGGGGTGATAAATTATTTCTTATCAAAGGTGTTTGACAGTTTTTTAAATAAATTGTATTGTGTTTAAATGATTTATTTTGTTTTTAAGCAATGCTAAAAGTTATCAATATTTATTTTTAAATTTTAAGCAAAAGTATAATGCAATAAAAATATTGAAATAATTAAATTATTTGTAAGCTATAT